ACTTAGGGCATCAAGAGTATCATCAATTTTTGGCAGTGGGTATGAGTCCTTTCGGTTATACTGTTAAGAGCCCTGAAGTCCACATACCAACGTTGGGTCCCATCCTTCTTCTGGATTAACACAACGGGGGCTGACCAGAGACTATCTGATTTCTCGACTAACCCTTTCTTAATTAGGCCATCCATGACCTTCTCCATCTCTTGTCGCTTTGCCGGGGCTGTTTGCATTACTCTTTATCCATAAATAAGACAGGCATAAGATGGCAGTTGGTGCACATCATAGGAGGGTGAGGGGTTCTACTTTGGAAAACAATTTAAGGTGTTGTAAAGTAATAAAAGGTGAAAACTATTTTATAACACATTTTTACACTTTCTCTTTTTATACGAAAACATTAATAGCTACTGGTACTATGATTATTTTTTATCAGGATTCAATAATAATCCAGTTTATGATTCTTCTTGTAATTTATTCCCAAGTAATGTGCGTCACAGTAAATTATTGTATTTCACGAAACAGAAATTTGTTAGCTTCTTTTAAATTAACAGATTGTATTGGCCCGGTATGGCCAAGTGGTTAGGGTGCTCGACTCGCAATCTGCGGGTCGCGGGTTCGAATCCCCGTCCCTCCAAAACTTCTCGCCCTTTCAGCCGTGGGGGCGTTATATTGTGACGGTCAATCCCACTACTCGTTGGTAAAAGAGTAGCCCAAGAGTTAGCAGTGTGTGGTGATGACTAGCTGCCTTCCCTTACACTGCTAAATTAGCCTTGCGCGAAATTCAAAAACAAACAAACAGATTATATTAAACCCATATGAATTTTAGACGTATGCATTAATTCGCATAATTTTCAGCGTGCGATTTATGAAACAAAATTGTAATACAGTATTTAACGATATGCAAAACTAAACACCTCCAAACTATCTATTACCAAAAAAGGAAAAACGTTGATAGTGAGAGAAACCAAACAGTTTACAACGAACTAAGTAACATAAGATGTAGCATTGTCGACATCAGTTTATACCTATTTTAATAGAAATATTTAGGAATCGAATAACTGAATATTAAAGCAGATTAGCAATATTTAGTTTTATCTTTTTTTTAATTCATAAATCATATTAAACCCATAAGAATTTTAGACATACAGTGTACATTTGTTAGTGTACAGGATAACTGAACTAAGATACACTATTATTTACAGAGATTCGCGTTATTTTTCATATCAGGTTCTCATACGAGTACCAGCAAAAATGGTTGGTGTTCACGCAAATTAGTCATCTCCATCCAACTTGCCAACAAAACAAGTTCATGTTAAACTAGCAAGACCTAGATCTAGAACTAGTCGATATAAAATCGTTCTTATTATTTATTAGGTTATTATCCAACTAGCTAGCACGGTAAGTTAATAACTGAGTTTTGTATCAAAGTATATGTTACCTACACGAAGTGGGGAATAAATTCCTGCTACCAGAAAAAAAATCGGTTATGATGGTACGCCTTTTTAGCATCTTTGAAGTATGCATTAATTATTTTAGCCGCGCATGCATACCTGCGCACCAGTTATGCGAACCTCTATTAAGATATATATGCACTGATCAGTGGATCGCGAATCGTTACTGCCAAAAGAAAAAAATGCGTTCCCAAATTAGGGGCCGTGAGTGCGTTATAAAGGTGGCAGTCAAATCCCATTGTTCAGTCTGACAAGAGTAGCCCAAGAGTTTTTGATGGGTAGTATTGACTAGCTGTGTTCCTACTTGTCTCTCATTTCAAAATTAGGGACTGTTATAAAGCAGATAATTCTCGTGTAGCTAGCTTTGCACGAAATCTAAAAAAAGAAACTTTGTTTGCATTCTCGCCTCAGCTTATTGAAAATGAATTAAAAGTTACTCTTTAGAATACGAGAAATCGATAATTAACTGATTAATGTAGATTTTCGACCATTTAATAATAATGGACTTAGATGCTAAAATGTGTGTGGACTTTATGTAAGCAGTAATGTGAAGATTATTTATGCTTGCTTTCACATGCATGAAGACATTCAAGAAGTTATTGTATTTTCTGTATTTACAGATTGTATACAAGATTGTTTAAACTTACCTGTACTTTTTATTAAAAAAAACATTTAGTCAACACACTTGTTTTTACTGGCACAATTACTGTAGATTGCCAACAGTAAGTCAGACACTACATACTTCAGCCAAAAGAGTAAATAATAATCAGGCTTACATCGCTATGTCGACAAATTCCGTGAGGCCTAGTGGAAAAGATCATTTTCTCTGTAGACAAGAGAGAATCTGAAACCTAGAAGAACGTGTGTTTTAAACTACCGTGTCTGTAAGTGTGAGACCGTGAAACGTGAGTGTTACATGCCTGATAATTGTATATTGAAATGAATGTGGGTGGAAAAAAAAAGTTAATCACAATAAAAAAAAAAAAAAGATAAACAATTAATTTTCTCTCTTGAGAAGTATATCCCACCACCTGGCTGTTATATTTAACTTCTTTTTTTTTTGTATACAGGAAGCATACATTATAACATTTCCCCTGAATTTAAAATGTAGTTTGTTAGAAGTGAAAATGATAGCATCCATGTTATTGTATCGTCTTTGAGTAGGAGTACTTCTGAAAGAGACAGTGTATTTTGTCATGACCGAACTAACATCAGATATGTGTGTATCCGAAAGAGAACATCATTAACGAACTAACATATATGTGTATCCAAAAGATAATTTCACTAATGAACTAACATCAGAGGTGTGTATCCAATTCTGATTTACTGCGGAAATCTAGACAAAACGTGTAAATATAAGATTCCATAATCCAACGCTGTACCCATCAACGACTATTCCAAGTAATATTTATAGAGGAGAAAAACTCATACCAATTTGTACAAGTAATTAATTTGGCTCATCCCACTGTCTGGTTGCCCCCATAGTCTGAAAATTATAAATGTATAAGTATCTATAGCACCACCTTGGATGGGGGTCAGACACAGGGCCAAAGTGATATGAGAATATCTAACTGATGGCATATGCAATTTTTAGCTGAGTAAAAAAAAAGTAATAAATACGTACAGTCTTATGGCATTAGGCTATCTAAAATGTCATAAATGCATACATAACACGTTTGAACATGTTGAATAGATCGAACTAAATGTATATTCCTAACTAGTTATGAAAATGCAAAATCCATTTCATTATCAACTATTACACCTGTAACCATTGTCCAAAATAGACGATATTTTATTTTTGATATTACCATAATACATTACAGAGCAAGTTTTTTTCTTCTTCTTAGAAATAGTTAATTTGTCATAAATAATTGCTGATCCTCCACTACCCGAATAAAAACAAAAGAAAAATAAAATTTCCATGCGCTTAAGCTGTAGCCATTTTGTAGCTAGGGGTAGTGTATCCTGATTGGCCAATTGGCTAACGTTCTGCCAAAAGAGCAGCCGCGCTACGTAATAACGTAAACACCTTCCGATTCGAACAGGTCGTAGTGGGAACTACCTTATTCTTCTGATTATTTGCAACTTTACGTGTGAAAGAGCGTGCGCTACGAAACAGATGCATTACAGCAACATTTGTAAACACATTTATTCAAAAGACGTTTCGGAATTACATATTTTATTATCAGCGATCTGTAATAATATGCATCAAGTAACAGCAAAGATTACTTATTATTAGAACTGGAACAGATAAAAATAAATACAGAAATAACTGTAAGGCACTGAAATAAAATGGATTTTTTAAAATAATTTACAGTACAAACACAAGTTAAGTTGTTTATTCAAAATATAGTTGAAAAGATCGAAGGTTGCTCCCAAATCCTCAAATATTTTATTAATCGGGGATGGTTTACTTGTGTTCTAAATATTTCATGACATGGAATACCACACTGAATTACGTGCCTGTGTTTGCGATTTAGTCCGTAACATTTTTGTGGGATATCACTTAACATTTGATATAATCAACAAGAAACAACGTTATCAGGTTATAATCAGTGAACATGTTAGTGTATAATATTTCAAACGAATGAACTTACAAACATTTGTGAACAAATATTTAAAAATCTGGAAATACTTGTACAGTTTTTACCAAAAATATTTTTCGAGTTTCAAACGCAATATGCTACTCAATTTTGGTACTTAAAATACTTTTTATGATTTAAACGCAATACGTATATAGATATCTAGATAATTTTGTGGAAGGATCGGTGTACAACCTAATGTTTTAAGTTTTAATGTAAATATTGTGAATTTAAAAAGATAATACATTCATTACTGTTATTTAATGTAAGGGTAGTATGAGTTTAAACTTCGACGTAACGACACCTAAATGAAAAATGCTTTTACACACTTCGAACGTTGTGCATGTTGACAGAAGGTACAGACTCGAGGAAACGAGAGAAAGAAAGGTAACTTCGTCAGAAGCACGTGATGAGTCTCAGCTTGTAGCGTGTGGTGTAAACTTGTAAGAGCAGTGTCTTTAAAATAATATTTATAAATTATATAAAAAGTGTATTTGATTGGTTTTAAACTGAAAAGTAAACTTTAACGCATTTTATCAACCTTGACCTCGTATTCTTGTTTAATGTGGATTGTGCGCCTATCTGATGAATAACAATATTGCTGTTCTATTCTGAAATCTTGAGTGATTTTTTACAGAAGTTTTCTCGTTACTTTTCCATATGTTAAGATGTTGAAGTAAGACATAGAATTTATTTTAAACATAGCTTGTACTTTCTCATATGTTTATAATAGATTAAGGTTAATTATCTAATTTATTTCTGCAATTTTTACCAATTACACGAGAGTGTAATATTTTAGAAATCTGATTTCTTTTTTATGGTATCAAGTTAAGTGTTCCGATTGCATGTATTAATTGTATTTGTAATGTATAATGTATTAATTATTTACGTAACGAAAAGTTTAAATCTACTGTAAGCATTTTCCATATGTGTGTTATTAAATTGTGATAAAAACATCCATATTGATCAAAGCTGTAAATTAAATCATTTACTATACAAAATGTAAGGTAAAACATTCATATTAGTATCCCGAATTGTAGATAAACAATAGGAAATTAAATGTAATATTAATTGTCGATTTGATAAATAAATAATATTAAACATTATTATAGTAAAAAAAGTAAAATTTTGTAAATCAGAATTATGAGTAATACAATATATTACCAAAAAGAAATAACACAATTTCCAAAATGCCAGTAGGATTTTAGCCAATGTTTGAATGTAGATCTAGTAATTAAAAAAAGAGGAAACTTTTATGATGTGTAACTTCTGTTGACAAGTTTTGTGTTTGTTGTCATTACATAAAATTTGAATTGTTTTCCTTAAGGTATTGAGTACTCAGGCATGTAAAATGTTTATTTCATGTTACAATACTGGAAGGTTTTTCCAAAGGTGTGCCTATGGAATGAATGGATAGTATTGCCATCATGTCATATCAGTACTCAAAAAATTTGCCAAATTAATTAATGCAGAATATTTAACTTCATTAGAAGAAACTATATAATTTAGATATTGGAAAAAAAATATATATAATTCCAGAATTCATCAGAAATTGATAACCAGTTGAAGGAAACTATTTCAATTATCTATTCATTAGAGTTTCTTCAAAGGATATGGAGATTATGGAAACTGATTCTCTCATCAAAAGAAGAACTAGTCATAATGTGAAAATGTCAAGCACTGAACAAACCATTTATCAGTCTGTAAATGGCCCTGAAGGGCCACTTAAGACCTCAGATAGTCTTGAGAATACAGAATCAACAAAAAAACGTCCTAGGTATGTTAGCAGTGATGATGAAATGATTGACATAACAGGAACAGGGACTACTTCAGAAGCAAATCTGTCCCAATCACATGGTATGACATCTTATTATTTATCATTAATTTTTAGCTTATTATCTTAGTAGAAAAAATTAAAATATAAACTTTCAAAGATGCTAGAAGGAAAGGTGTCTTAGCACTAGCTATCATCAATTTTATTTTTGTTATTAGTAATTTTAAGCTCATTATCCTGAACCATTTAAAACTTAACCCTCAAATTACCTACATTTTGTGTAATATTTTGTTTTTATCTGTTAAAATTCTTGTTGTAAAGAACTGACTGAAAGATTGGCATGTAAATTAGATATAAGACTCCAGGAGTATCTATTAAGACTAAGTGCAATATTGATGATACTTTTGTTAATTTTTTTTGTGTGACTGGTATATTACAAGGACATTTCTAGGATTTCTTTGGGGGGGGGGGGTCAGAAAAAGTAATAATTTTATGTCAGTGGGAGTTGCAATGCAGAAAATTTAAAAATCTTGAAAAACTATATCTGAGATGGGGGCCAGTGGTTATGGCCCTTGTATATTGTAAAGCATCCTGTAAATAAGTGGATGTATACAAGCAATTTAGTGTATAGATAGTTTAGAAATATTTATTTAAAAAGCTGTAAGGGGTCCATTTTAGGGTTAGAGTTTCAACAGTACTAGCTTTACTTTTATTGGTCACAATTGTGTATATTGCACAGTATTTAATTCTAATATATATTATTGTAGCATTGTGCTGAAGAAAAATGATTATAATTATGTATAGGCAAGAAGTAATGATAATGTTTTATTGTGTATATTTCTTTAAGAATCTTAATTTTACTAAGCTAACTGCATTGAAATCTTGTTTTAGAGAAATTTTTATTTTTAAATAATTTATCTATCATACAATAAATATAGAAAATTGGTGATTTCACCCAATATGTTATTCAGTTCTTCACATTAAGTACTGTTGGAGGTAAAAACATAGATTACTCAGTATTACCAATAAATGAACATTGTTTGAGAATGGCATAAAAACAAGTTGGTAATTTGAGGGTTAACACACACATACACATATAAATTGTAGTAAAAATTGTCAAAGAATGGATAATTTTCTTGAAGATCCATGGAGTAACCATACTTTGCAGTTTTCATTACATTTCAATAAAGATGCCTTGTTTCAAGTGTTCAACCTAATTACTTTGTTTTATACAGTTAAACATACAATAACTTCACTGTATATATGGCAGCAGATCTGAAAAAGCATTTGTAATGTTTTTTATGTATATATATATTTTTTTTTGAATACTAGTGTCAGATGTGTTGAGCCTGATAAAAATGTTTAAGCCTACAGAACTTAATTGTAATTAACTAAGAAATATATTTCTAGCTGCAAGTACCTGTACTGGGTTCAGCTATTCTCACTATGAATATGGATAAATAGATTATATTAAAAAGGAAATGTATTTGCATGTACTCTATTTCAAGATTTAATATTATTAAATACAAGCAAAAATAACCCATCCCCTGTGACAGGAAAGGTTTAAGTTAATCTAGCAAAATTACCCACCTCTGGTGATGGGAAAAGTTAATCTATCAGTTTAAATTATTTCATGGACTTTAAAAAGGTTAATTGTGTTGTCAAAGCTCTGAGCTACTTGTATCACCCACTGCAAAAAGTAATTGTTGAATCTTTCAGTCATGCTAAGAGCTGCTTAACAATAACATATGATAAATCTACATATTTATACTTTAAGTTATGTTAAATTTTTAAATGTGAATGATAATGTGATTAATTCCTGATAATTTTTATGTAGAATATCCTACTTGCGAAATAAGATTTAGTATCAACACTATTCAAGCCTGTTCTCTCACAATTTCAAAAGTGAATGTTGAGCTTTTCAAACGGGAAACAGATAAACACTCACAGATGCCAAGGTTCACTATATATATACACACACACAGTCAAATTAAGATGTACATGTACTAAATAATTATACTAAAAATTAACCTAGCCTTCAGCATAGCTAACTAAATAATCTTTCTTATGTACATATTTACGAATATTAGAATGTATTGTTTCATCAGTTAGGTACTCTTGCTGATAATGATATTTTTGGTTGTAAACATAGGGCCAGCACAGAAGATTAAGGCTAGTCCTAAGTACAAATTCTAAGCTAAAAATGTAAATCAATCTTTATAATACAATTTTAAAAATTAAAAATAAGTTAAAATAAAAGTAATTATGTATACACCTTGATCATCAGTGACTTAAGTCTGTGCTAAAAACAGAATTATTCCATAGACGATTTGACCACAAAAAAATTACCCAACCTGTTTTTCATGCTAACATGGTATCTGTATTCTTTTCATTTGATGACTTTGATTTGATTTGCATGTTAAATTACTATGACTTAAGTGAATTAATTTTGATTTATGCTGTTAAACTGATAACTTAAAGCTTTTTATTCATTTTACTTCATTATTACAATTTCCATTATGTGGTGATTGTCTTGAATGTAAATGTATTTTAAATTTATGTGTTAAACATTTTCATATGTTTAATGAACATAGTATTAATGACTGTTAACAAATGTTAATTGTGAAGAAGTTAGTTGAAACTTCAAGCTCTCAATGAAAATGTGAATTAAACATTAACAAAATGCATTGCTCTGTGTCTTGCCAGGGCCAATCAGTTTTATGCCGAAACTTCATAAAACACGTTTGTGAAATTGGTATACATAATTAAAGAAATAGTAAAATTTATAATAATTGAAATGAACATAAAATAAACATGAAACAAAATCTTGATGTGTTCTCCATTCAAAAAATACAGATTTGCATGAAAAAAAAGGAGGATTCAAGACTGTGGTAAAATGAGTTGTGCAGTTGCATTGTATCGAGGCAGAAGCGTAATGAGTAGTATACCAATATAATCAGTGAAAGGAGCAATGAATAATCAAAATGACATACATTACTTATTAAACACTGGTTCCCATCCTTAATCATTGTCTTTGGAAACTGGTTCTCTTTTAATAATGCACTTTACAAAAAAAAAAACAAATTTACACATCTTCCACTATATGACATATTAAGTATAAAAATTAATGCCACATGTTAAGTAAAAGTCATGTCAGGTTGGATGTATCAACTTTCTCATACTGTAGACAAAAACCAATGCCCATGAACATACTGAACTATAAATAAAAAATAATATAATGATATAGCACTTGATCTAACCATTATAATATGGCAAGGCTAAACATAATAAGTATAAAACAAATAGCCAAACATAATATATATAGTTTTTCTAGAAATGTCTATCACCAATTTTAGCATATTCTCCCCTACTTGTTTTAGAATTACTTAAGTAACCCATGTAGCAACCACCCAGAGTATTACTGCAGGAAATGATAAATAATACCTGTGTAGCAGCCACCCAGAGGATTACTGCAGGAAATGATAAATAATATACCTGTGTAGCAGCCACCCAGAGGATTACTGCAGGAAATGATAAATAATATTTATTCTTTTCTAAAAGCTGCAAAGTAAAGATGATAAGCATGTAAAAATACAAAACTTCTATGAAATTAATATTTTGTATTTTTAATGATATGCTTTGTTTTATAATTTTTATTTGCTTATAATCTGTAGAATTATTAATGGAAGGACACAGTTCTTCAGATTTAAAAAAAAATCATTATAATAAAAGCAACTTCAACAGTGTATCAATAACAATTCTAAATGTTTTGAGATGAACATCTACATATATAACTAAGGCATTATTTTATCAATTCTAGTAGCTGTTCCTCAGGTTTCTTTATGATGTTTAGTATATAAAACAACTGTTAAAAATGTATGGTATTTCTTTAAAAAATATTGAAGTAAGTGTAATTAAATTACTATAACTAAATCAATTATTTAAGTAGTTGTGAAATTAAGTTTTCCAGAAGACAGCTAAAAAATAAAAGGTCATATAAGGAACAAGATAAAATGTTCTATAAAAATCATGTATATGTGGTGCATATGATTTTAATCTTGTGGCTGTTTATTATATAAGGTAGAAAATTATTTTGCTCTCAGAAAGTGTGTACTAGAGTTGGGTGATTTAATCCATCATTACCTATAAGCAGCAATTATATGAATTAATGTCATGTAAACTAATTAATCAATTGAATTGATTAATCAAAATTAGTGTTATTGATTAATCCAACTAATCAAATAATGGAAATATTGCCATTATGTTTGTTGTTAAGGCACACAGCTAAGTAATGTGTTTTGTGTTCTGTCCAGTTTTAGCATTACAAGTTGATTTTCTTTACCTCAAATTTGGTGATCTTGGGAAGGGGGCTTACGATCAGAGAGTCTCAAATCTAATTCCCAATGCCACCAAACTTGTTTGCCCTGGTCTTTGTTATGATAAAGGTACTAAAACTGTCTGCCACTGTCAACTAGAGACTAAAGGGAAAGCAGCTGTAATCAATTAATGGGGCTGTTGCTTAATTGATTAGCAGATACCACTAATTTCCCTGCTGTAGATTATCTACACATAGTTATGTATATATAAATATAAAACAGAGTTGTCCATCTGCCTTATGTCTTGATGCTACAATTTGTTGGGAGGAATTAGTAGAACCAAATTTGAAGAAATTTCATAAAGGAACTTGAGTGTAAATGGATAAGCAACAGTTTGAGTTTGGTAGTTATTTCATTTTGTGCACATAAAACCAATGCCAAATTAAAGTGATATTTAATGTCATGTGTATCATATAAAGCAAATAGGCTATGACCATTTAAATTTTCTTCCTGCTACTGCCTACTTTCATAAGTCTGATCACCTGTATTTAGTAGACTGGCATGACAATTGATGTACTTACAGACCATCTCATCTTCCTTATGAATCCAAATATACAAGTCACATGCATGGCATGGGTGCATTTACAAGTACATTATTATATGACAAGTTGAATTTCACTCCTTACTGATGAAGGAAGGCCTGCATTGAAAAGGGCATAAATGTTAGCTCTCTAAGTTTCATGAGCAGAAGAGTTAGATATATATTT